GGATTTCTGGATATTTAAAACCATTAAGACTAAGGAGCATTTGTTCAACAATGAGTTCCAATTGTTAATGAAAGTGGTTATCACCTTGGAACATCCCCGGGGTTTTGTACACACTTAATCCCCTAGGAATCATATTTCTCTTCATGTAATCCAATAAAGTGAATGCATGTCAATCTAGCCTAATATTTTTTTCTTGATTTTCTCATATTCACGACATGTGCTTTGGGTCTATGACGATGGGCAGCCCACTAACCCCTTCATTAGCTAATCTTTTTGTAGCCAATTTGGAACGAATGTGGATACTAAATGAAGCCAAAAATGTCTTCTTACCAGAGATCATCTACTATGGGAGACTTATAATTTTTTTAGTATATAGAACACAAGACACAGCTCCACAGTTTAGTCGATGGATGAACACAATACATGGCCACAGCGGTCCACGCTCTTGTTACATCCCAAATAGATTACTGCAACGCACTCTACGTGGGGTTGCCTTTGAAGACTGTTCAGAAACTTCAACTAGTCCAGCAGGCGGCAGCCAGATTACTCACTGGAGCGTCATACAGGGAGCATACCACCCCTCTGTTATGTCAGCTCCACTGGCTGTTGATCCAGTTCCAAGCACAATTAAAAGTGCTGGTTTTGACCTACAAAACCCTATACGGTTCTGGCCCAGCGTATCTGTCCGAACGCATCTCCTTCTACGTCCCGCCTCGAAGTTTGAGATCTTCTGGGGAGTCCCTTCTCTCGGCCCCACCTCTATCACAAGTGAGATTGGTGGGGACGAGGAGCAGGGCCTTCTCGGTGGTGGCCCCTCGCCTGTGGAATTCACTTCCCGGGGAAATTAGGGCATCAACATCCCTCCTCTCCTTTAGAAGGAAGCTAAAAACATGGATGTGGGACCAGGCCTTTGGGTGATCTGGCAGATAGACAAAGGACAACAACAACTGGAATGGATAGGATTTGACAATGTGGAATGAATTTATGGATTCTGAGCTGACGAACGTTGAGCATTAGAGTGGTTTTATTGATGGTGTTGTGTAATTTATGGTTGTAATTGTTTATAATTGCGGGTGATATGTTTTTCTCTTATTGTTTGTATTGGCATCAAGTTGTGCCTTTTGTAAGCCGCCCTGAGTCCCCCCTTGGGGGTAGAGAAGAGCAGGATCGAAATACGCGAAATAAATAAATAAATAAATAAATAAAATGAACACATTCAGTTTACTTTCTCAAGGACTACTCCAGGGTTTAATTCATCAGTTCAAAGACTGTGTAAATATTTTCTTAATACTTATCATTTGTTGTGAGAGTACTAACAAAAGAGTGAAGATACTCACCGCCGTCACAAGTAAAAGGAATATATATAATTTGGAGGAGTGAATTTATAACTCAAGCCTCGAGAAAACACTACAGAGAAATTACTGAGTAGCATTTAGACTTATACCCTATGCATTTTCTTTGTTATATTTATGTGCAGTTTAAACCAATTTACACAGTTAATGTTAACATAGCTCAGTGTTGATAACGTTTTGTTATTGGTCATAGATATCTGCGTTACTTTGATACCGACATCTCCGGCTCATCTTCTGTTCGGATATCAGCCAACATGCCAATGCCTTAAATCAAGAAAAAGCTTCCTAAGATCTACAGAGATACTCCTAGAAACAACCCAGCAAGCGGGAGCCCAAAAGTGGCAGGCTAAAACTCAGCACCTCAATCAGTGGCTAAGACCGGATGAGAGACTCCCTCTTGGAAGTTTGGTTCAATTCCATTGTTAGTTAAGTTCAGAATGCTCTTTGATTGTAGGTGAACTATAAATCCCAGCAACTACAACTCCCAAATGACAAAATCATAATTTTTGAGTGATGGTCACTCCTTGTGTTGTGAGATGTTTTGCTGCCAAATTTGGTGTGATTTCGTTCATTGGTTCTTTTGTTTTTAAGGTACTCAATATGCACAGAGCATTTTTATAGATAGACTAGCCATCCCCTGCCGCGCGTTACTGTGGCCCAGTCTCGTGAGCTAGAAAATAAAATAATGAGAAAGTGTTGGTTTCTAATATATGTTATTTCTTTATGCTTGTGGGAAAACTGTATTTCTTGTTGTTTCTTTGTCAGTGTTGATGTGGAGATTGTCTGGTTTGCCCACCCTGGAACATGCAACATATCATTGTCCTTTTTTAGGAGCCCCTTTCAAATCTATGATACTATATCTGTGTATGTGGATCATATATATCTGTCTATATCTATGGCTGGATGGCTCTTTGTCAGGAGGGCTTTGATTATGTTTTCTTGCCCTGGTGAAGGGAGTTGGACTCGATGGCCTTAAGTATTTTCTGTTGGTCATGGGGGTTCTGTGTGGGAAGTTTGGGCAAATTCTCTCGTTCGTAGAGTTCAAAATGCTCTTTGATTGTAGGTGAACTATAAATCCCAGTAACTACAACTCCCAAATGTTAAGGTCTATTTTTCATCTGTGTTCCTATTTGGGTATTATTATTATTATTATTATTATTATTATTATTAAACTTTATTTGTACCCTGCTAGCATCTCCTGAAGGACTCGATGCGGCTTACAAAGGCCAAGGCCTCAACACAACAACAGCATAACAAATACAACTCAAAGAAAATCAAAAACATAAAGCAATAACAACAAAACATTACACCATAACACAGTAAAAACTAGGGCCGGGCCAAGTAATGGGTACAGATTAAAAAGTGCTGGGTGTGACAGGTGGCATGTTGGATTTCAGGGCAAGTGCAATGTGCAGAGAATCTTAAAACTCTAATAAAGTGCTTCTGGGGTTTTCCTATTCCGGAAAGGCACATCGGAATAGCCAGGTCTTCAAGTTCTTCCTAAAGACAGCCAACATGGGTGCTAGTCTGATGTCTTTGGGGAGGGTGTTCCAAAGTCGGGGGGCAACCACAGAAAAGGCCCTGTCCCTCGTCCCCACCAAATGCGCCTGCGACGCAAGCGGGATCGTGAGCAGGGCCTCTCCGGATGAACGAAGGGAACGTGTGGGTTCATAAACGGAGATGCGGTCACGCAGGTAGGCAGGTCCCAAACAGTTTAGGGCTTTGTAGGTAAGCACCTGCACCTTGAATTGGGATCGCAAGGTAAACGTCAGCCAATGGAGCTCCTTAAACAGGAAGGTTGACCTCTCTCTGTAAGGAGCACCAGTTAACAACCTGGCTGCCGAACGTTGGACCAGTTGGAATTTCCGAGCCGTTTTCAAGGGCAGCCACACATAGAGCGCATTACAGTAATCCAATCTAGAGGTGACCAAGGCATGGACCACCCCGGCCAGATCAACCTTTGCGAGGTACGGTTGCAGCTGGCGCACGAGTCTCAATTGTGCAAAAGCCCTCCCGGACACCACCGATGCCTGAGCCTCAAGCTTAGGGTATTTGGAATATTTGAGCCAAGTTTGGTCCAGCCCCATCATTGTTTGAGTCCACAGTGCTCTCTGGATGTAGGTGAACTACAACTCCCAAACTCAAGGTCAATGCCCACCAAACCCTCCCAGTATTTGCTGTTGTCATGGGAGATCTATGTGCGAAGTTTGGTTCAATTCCATCATTGATGGAGTTCAGAATGTTCTTTGATTGTAGGTGAACTATAAATCCCAGCAACTACAACTCCCAAATGACAAAATCATAATTTTTGAGTGATGGTAACTTCTTGTGTAGTGAGACGTTTTGCTGCCAAATTTGGTGTGATTTCGTTCACTGGTTCTTTTGTTTTTAAGGTACTCATTATGCACAGAGCATTTTTATATATTGTCGAAGGCTTTCATGGTGGAATCACTAGGTTCTTGTAGGTTTTTTCGGGCTATAGGGCCATGTTCTAGAGGCATTTCTCCTGACGTTTCGCCTGCATCTATGGCAAGCATCCTCAGAGGTAGTGAGGTCTGTTGGAAATAGGAAAATGGGTTTATATATCTGTGGAATGACTGGGGTGGGGCAAAGAGCTCTTCTCTACTGAAGCTAGGTGTGAATGTTTCAGCTGACCACCTTCATTAGCATTTGAAGGCCTGCCTGAGCCTGGGAAAATGTTCTGTTGAGAGGTGTTAAGATGTGCCTGGTTGTTTCCTCTCTGCTGTTTTGCTGTAGTAATTTTAGAGTTTTTTAATACTATCTACAAACCCACCAAGAAAATTCAACAAATGCTACGTTCAGCAAAGGACAAGAGGGATGCTCTCACCTCTGCAGGAGTCTACCGTGTACCATGCAGCTGTGGACAAGTCTACAAAGGGACCACCAAACGCAGCAGCATTGCCCAAACACGCATCAAGGAACATGAAAGGCACTGCAGACTCCTTCAACCAGAGAAGTCAGCCATAGCAGAGCACCTGATGAACCAGCCTGGACACAGCATATTATTTGAGAACACAGAAATGCTGGACCACACCAACAACCACCATGTCAGACTACACAGAGAAGCCATTGAAATCCACAAGCATGTGGACAATTTCAACAGAAAGGAGGAGACCATGAAAATGAACAAAATCTGGCTACCAGTATTAAAAAACTCTAAAATTACAACAGCAAAAGAGCAGAGAGGAAACAACCAGGCACATCTTAACACCTCTCAACAGAACATTTTCCCAGGCTCAGGCAGGCGTTCAAATGCTAATGAAGGTGGTCAGTTGAATCATTCACACCTTGCTCCAGCAGAGAAGAGCTCTGTGCCCCACCCCAGCCATTCCACAGATATATAAACCCATTGTCCTATTTCCAACAGACCTCACTACCTCTGAGGATGCTTGCCATAGATGCAGGCGAAACGTCAGGAGAGAATGCCTCTAGAACATGGCCCTATAGCCCGAAAAAACCGACAAGAACATTTTTATATAGATAGATGGCTTTGGAGGTGTCCCAGGCGGTCCACTGCGCATGCCCAGGGCTAGGCTTGCCCTCTCCCTCCCTGCCAGAGAGCGGGAGAGTTCTGCGCTTGCGCGGAAGGGGCCTCCCTCCTCTCGCGCCGGCCCCTTCGCGCATTCTCTTTGCCGCCCCGAAAGGGAGTTGCGGGCAAGAGCGGCTGTGTCGTTGCCCGTGGTTTTTTGGCGCGGTGCACTGTGGGAGCGGCTGAGGGCGCAAAAATGGCGGACCTGGCCAACGAAGGTAGGCGGCCGCAAGGAGGAGGCGGAGGGGCTCCGGGGAGAGCGTGAGGGAGGGCCCCTGAACGTGGGGGGGAACCAAGGGCGCCTCTGAGCGTGTGCAGAAAGCCAGGCCCGCCTCAGCCCAGCAAGCCTGAGCCCTTCTGCAAGGGGGGCCGGAGTCACACCCTTGACTCCAGGCATGGGCCAACTTGGGCCTTCCCTTCAGGTGTTTTGGACTCCAACTCCCACAATTCTTAACAACCGGTAGGAAACATAAATGTAAAAAAATAAAAATAAAAACCGATTTTATTATAACTCCATCAGACAGGTTCAAAATACCAATAGAGAGTAACAAAGTGGATACAACCAACTCTAAAAGGGCTGGGCAAGGAATAGTGCAGTGGTCGTGAGGGGCTTTCAGAGGGGTTGCCATATATTTCTGATAGTCTTAGGAACCCCTTTGGCAGAGAAGGCTGAAGATCTCTCCGCCTGACCTTCTCTTCCTCCAACCAAAAGCCCTCCTTCTGCTGTGATTGGCTGGCTTCTCAGCCAAGGGGGGCCCCCAGTGGCGCAGTGGGTTAAACCCCTGTGCCGACCGACAGGTCGCAGGTTCGAATCTGGAGAGCGCGCAGATGAGCTCCATCTATCAGCTCCAGCTCCTCATGCGGGGACATGAGAGAAGCCTCCCACAAGGATGATAAAACATCAAAACATTCGGGTGTCCCCTGGGCAATGTCCTTGCAGACGGCCAATTCTCTCACACCAGAAGCGACTTGCAGTTTCTCAAGTCGCTCCTGACACGACAAAAAAAAAACCCAACCCAAGGGGGGGGGGTGTTTCTGAAAGTCCAAGCAGGGAGGGGAGATCAGGTGTGCTCTACGCATGGCAACATGGTGCGCATGCATTGGCGAGGGAGAGCATGCAAGACACTAGCATGTCCCTTTAAGGCAAGGGAAAAGAATGTTCGCCTGATGTGGGACTGAGAGTGGCCCAGCAGCATCCATTGTTGTTTGGGTTCACAGTGCTCTCTGGATGTAGGTGAACGACATCTCTCCTAAATCACAGTCAATTCCTCCCGAATCCCTTCATTATTTTCTCTAGGTCATGGGGGTTCTCTGTGGGAAGTTTGGCCCAATTCTGTCGTTGGTGGGGTCCAGAATACTCTTTGATTGTAGGTGAACTATAAATCCCAACAACTACAACTCCCAAATGACAAAATCTATGTTTTTTTTTTAGTTTAGGGCATGCATTTGGTTGTTAGGTGTATGCTGTCCAAATTTGGTGTCAATCCATCCAGTGGTTTTTGAGTTATGTTAATCCCACAAATAAACATTACATTTTTATTTATATAGCTTCTCCTGTCGTGTCAGGAGTGACTTGAGAAACCAAGTCGCTTCTGGTATGAGAGAATTGGCCGTCTGCAAGGACGTTGCCCAGGGGACGCCCGGATGATTTTGATGTTTTATCATCCTTGTGGGAGGCTTCTCTCATGTCCCCGCATGAGGAGCTGGAGCTGATAGAGGGAGCTCATCTGCCTCTCCCCGGATTCAAACCTGCGACCTGTTGGTCTTCAGTCCTGCCAGCACAGGGTTTTAATCCACTGCGCCACCGGGGGCTAATAATATATAATATATCGCTAATAATATATAATAATAATAGCTAACATTATTTATATATGTATATATAATGCTAGTAATATAATAATAATGGCTAACATAATAGAAGATAATATAATATATAATAAATATAGTATATTATATATCATAATGTGATGTTGTGTAATATATCATTATATCATAAAATTGTATTATATGATCATTTATATATTTTATTACATCACAATGTAATATTTTATTTTATTATAGAAATATTCAATCCTCCCCAACAGTATTAAAATGTGGGCATATTGGGTATTTGTGCCAATACATCCTGCATATCAGATATTTACATTACAATTCATAACAATAGCAACATTACAGTTATGATGTAAGAAAGAAAGGAGATTCCATCTGAACATGAGGAAGAACTTCCTGACTCTGAAAGCCGTACAGCTGTGGAACTCTCTGCCCTGGAGTGTGGTGGAGGCTCCTTCTTTGGAAGCTTTTAAACAAAGGCTGGATGGCCATCTGTCAGGGCTGCTTTGAATGCAATATTCCTGCTTCTTGGCAGGGGGTTGGACTGGATGGCCCATGAGGTCTCTTCCATCTCTATGATTCTATGATTCTACTGTATGATGTATTGATGAATAATGTGTGTAAATCCGAGTAGGGCATTTTGCAGCTGATAGATGGTAATTTTGTCAGCGGCAATTGTTTGTAAGTGTAGGCCAAGGCCTTGAGGCACTGCACCCAGTGATCACCACTGGGACCTCCTTTACTAGCTTGTGTCAGCTTTTCCAGTTGTTTCTCGTCAATTCAGCTGTTACCTGGGACTGCAACATTGTTGTTGTTGTTGTTGTTGTTGTTATACCCTGCTTTTTCTCTCCACAAGGAGACTTTGAGTGGCTGACATTAAAAAGCATTTCAATGCAACTGAAAATCCACAGATAAACAAACATTAAAACATAATTAAATATCCTTGATATTAACAGAAATCAGTTAAAAACCATAAAAAACATATTCAAAACTGAAAACCACAGCAGCCCCTGATAAAGTTGGGAAATAAAATATAGAAAATATATGTTTAAAATAGGTTAGCACCAAGGGAGCAGGTCAATGAGATAAAGGTGGAAATAAAATATATAAAATATAATATTTGGATAGGTACAATTGATTGGCACCAGGGGAGATATATAAATATATAGGAATATATAAAAAAGCAAATTGGGAATACAGTGATAATGCATTAAAAAACTACAAAGTTAAACACTTGGTAATATACAAAATGTTCTTTGACCATAAGCCGGCCACTCAGGCCACATTATAGTAAGTGATCTGTGGTTTGCTCTTCTCCACATTCGCATTTCGAGGACTCCACATTGTAGCCCCATTTCTTAAGGTTGGCTCTGCATCTCGTGGTGCTAGAGCACAGTCTGTTCAGCGCCTTCCAAGTAACCATGTCTTCTGTGTGCCCAGGAGGGAGTCTCTCATCCGGTCTCAGCCACTGATTGAGGTGCTGAGTTTTAGCCTGCCACTTTTGGGTTCTCGCTTGCTGGGTTGCTTCTTTGAGTATCTCTGTAGATCTTAGGAAGCTTTTTCTTGATTTAAGGCGTTGGCATGTTGGCTGATATCCGAACAGAAGATGGGCCGGAGATGTCGGTATCAAAGTAACACAGATATCTATGACCAATAACAAAACGTTATCAACACAGAGCTATGTTAACATTAACTGTTTAAATTGGTTTAAACTGCACATAAATATAATGAAGAAAATGCATAGGGCATAAATCTAAATGCTACTCAGTAATTTCCCTCTAGAGTTTTCTCGAGGCTTGAGAGTTATAAATTCACTCTTCCAAATTATATATATTCCTTTTACTTGTGACGGCGGTGAGTATCTTCACTCTTTTGTTAGATCTCTCACAACAAATGATAAGTATTAAGAAAATATTTACAGTTTTTGAACTGATGAATTAAACCCTGGAGTAGTCCTTGAGAAAGTAAACTGAATGTGTTCATGCATTGTGTTCATCCATTGACTAAACTGTGGAGCTGTGTCTTGTGTTCAATATACTAAAAAAATTATAAATCTCCCATAGTAGATAATGTCTGGTAAGAAGACATTTTTGGCTCCATTTAGTATCTATATTCATTCCAAATTGGCTACAAAAAGATTAGCTAATGAAGGGGTTAATGGGCTGCCCATCATCACAGATCCAAAGCACATTTAGTGAATATGAGAAAATCAAGAAAAAATTCTTATTTACATGCATTCACTTTATTGGATTACATGAAGAGAAATATGATTCCTAGAGGATTAAGTGTGTACAAAACCCCGGGGATGTTCCAAGGTGATAACCACTTTCATTAACAATTGGAACTCATTGTTGAACAAATGCTCCTTAGTCTTAATGGTTTTAAATATCCAGAAATCCAATTCACTTATAAAGGAATATGAAAACAAATTAAATTTACTTGTCATAATAATAAACAAGAGATTACTTTCCTTGATGTTACAGTGTACAAGACACAAACAACTTAAGGGTAAGGAATTACTGGAAAGCCACTGATAAGAATTCAGTCATGCACTACGCCAGTTTCCATCATCATAGGCTAAAAACAAACCTTCCTTATTCTCAACTCATGAGACTAAAACGCAATTCCAGCTCACCCAAGGATCTGGATTCAGAAATTTGTACCTTTAAGAAACAGTTCAAAGATAGAGGTTATCCCTCCAAGATTCTAAATACAGCCATTCGGAAAGTTAATCATATAGATAGAGCTCACTTTTTAAAAGGTACGCCGAAATCACCATGAAAAGAAACAAAATCTGGCTACCAGTATTAAAAAAAAAAAAAAACAACCACCAGAATCAAGACAAGTAAATAAGAAACACCATTCAGAAGCAGGAGAACTCCAGACAACAAATAACCAAGTGCCAGTGAACACCTCCTAAACAGAGGATGCCTCCAGGCATAACAGCCAAGCTACCGCTATGCAAATGCCTTCACTGATTGACTTTGCAAACTTCATGGCTACTCAATGCTATTCAAGCTTACTAATTGCAACATTCACACTTACTTCAAACAGACAAGGGTTCTTTCTCCCACCCTGGACATTATTCCACAGGTGTGTGTGTATGTGTTTTATATACACACACACACACACACACACACACACACACACACACAAATGTAATGTTCGTTTGTGGGGTTAACAGAACTCAAAAACCAGTGGGCGAATTGACACCAACTGTGGACAGCATACACCTAACAACCCAATCTGTATGTTCTTCACTCAATTTTTTTTTTGATTTTGTCATTTGGGAGTTATATTTCTTGGGATTTATAGTTCACCTACAATCAAAGAGCATTCTGAGCTCCACCAATGATGGGATTGAACCAAAGGTGATTCACAGGACTCC